GAGACGAGAATGGATTCCATCGGTTCACAAAAGCCCAAGCACCAGAAAGTGAGTCACCATACGTCTGCGGCGTGTCATCGTCCAAAGCACCTACATCAATGGCAAAAATTATGTCAACTCCAAGACCCTTCATGTGAGACACGGTCAGATTGTCAATGTAGCCGCCATCCAGTAGCATACTGCCCTCATCGCACAGAGGTGGGAGTAACCCCGCGAGGGACATGGATGCTCTGATATATCTCCACGCGTACCCACTGGTGTGGAATTCGGCTCGACTCTTGCTGATATTGGTTGTGTTGCAGTAATATTCGAGCCAGAAATCTTCCATCTGCGTGTCGCCTAAAGCCTTGAAGATACCACGGTTGAATTCGTGTCCAGTGGTGTAAGATGCAGAGGGATACGTCAGATCAAGAGCAAACCGCCATAGACTGGCCATTCGCCCGGCAAATTTCTTGGCAAATCCAAACATAGGCACGACATCAGCATGCCGGGCGTACAGAGCGCCAACAAAAGCACCAATCGAAGTTCCTCCAACGAGATCAATAGGAATTCCGGCTTCTTCCATGGCTCGGATGATACCAATTTGAGTGATGCCGCGAGCACCGCCTCCGCCAAGAACCAGTCCAATGGATTTACCACATAGTCGTCGTGCCAGGCGATGAAAGTCGCCCTTGTAAGGAGAATCGGGTGAGTAGTACGGCGTGTGGTGCACCTTGCGAGACGTGTATTTTTGAATTTCAGCCTGCAAGACCTGAACACGTTCTTTGAGTGCTTGACCAAGTTTCTTGGGGGCATGGACTGGCATCTCGTTTGTTCTGAAAGCCATTTGAATATGGCAGTGTCCACCGTTGATCCACATTCGGTTTTGCAGCCAAGCTCGAGTCAGCCCAGGCCGTGAATAACGCTCAGTATGAAGTAAGACCAGCACTTTTCTAGCGGTAGATTTCATGCCAAGCATAAAGCGTTCGTATTCACCAATAGCTGGTGATCCTTCGGCAAGACCAACCAAAAGGATGCTGTCAGCTTGCGTGATACAAGTCTGTGTCCACGGCGAGTTGACGTTCGTATCTAGAGCCAATCTGTTAGCTCAAGGCTCTTTCCAAAGGTCCAGAAAACAAGTTGTAACGAGAATAGGTCAGGAAAAAATTAGAGTTAATAGAACCAACATCGGCTTTGCCTCTGGAGTCTATGTGTGATATTATCATCATAAAAGGAATGGTTGAAGAAAGAAAACAAGTTATTGCTTACCTGCAACATAGACAACCAGGCCATACTTCTCTTCCAGATCAGCAAGATATTGCGAAAGCCTGAGCTTTCCCATCTTATTGAAAGCATGTTTGCCGAGGTGGTTGAGAATGGCGGCCTGGTTGAGGGATGTAGCCCCATTAGCTGGACCGACTTGCGCCAGGGCATTCATGAGGCGGTTCCCGAACTCAACAACAGGTACACCGGCGGTAACAGGCAAGATCGCTACAGTTCGTAGATTCATATTGGACTTGCGCATCAAAGTTTTTGGATTGGTGCTAGCATCCTTGTACGAGAACTTGGATGTCTCGTCAACGATTGCCCTCATCCGTGATGCAATGATCTTTGAAATTTTGATGGTGATGTTTGGATGCTCTTGTGCCAAGCTGTTGAAGAGTGTTCGGGGGAACTTCACCAACTCCGTATCTCGAATAGCATGCAGAGTCCCTGGGCGAGCAGTTTCTGTAAGCACCTCGAGCTCACCGACACTGTCTCCTTGTCCGTATTCTGCCAGAGCCGTTACGCCGCCACTGCCACCCTTTCGCTCCTGGACCAACCGAAGGCGACCGTTGAGGACAATATAAATCGCCTCGCTTTCATCACCTTCGTGAAATAGCACCTGCCCTGCATTGACTTGAACCCATTCCAGAGCAAAGTCAATATGTAGAATCAGGCGGGGCAAGATGTTGGTAAGCCTCTTGGCCATAGTGAGGAGAACAATCGGATAGCGGTCAACAATCCGCTCCAGCGAAGCGCGAGGCAGGAAGCCTACATAGACATCCGTCTTTGCGACAACATCGATGAAAGATCGGTATGAAGACACACTTCCGATGTAACCAGCCAGTCCACCCGGTTTAACCAAGGCAATGCTGCGACGAGGCTTCTTCGATGTTGATTGCTGCGTCTCGACCTGATCTCTTGCAGCTTCGGTCCGAGCCAGATTGGGAAAAGAACCCATTTCGGAAGGATCTGGGGATGAAGGAGCTGGTTGAGATGAACCAAATCCGTTAGATTGTAAGATGTTGTGGGCATCTGCCTCACCAGTCGTACCAATGTCTAAGAACCCATCGACGACATAGTACAAACCAGGGTTTCGTTCTCCTTGCTCTACGAGAACAGAGCCTTTGGGGAAGAAGACGATCTCAACCTCATCCTTCATGTCGCTCGCAAGACCCTGAGCGCTCACAGGAGCATGTAAAGCGGTTCCTCCAGAAGTTACCGACTCGGTCTCGCCGTCAACAGAGCCATCGTAAGGAGGCATGAAACCGAATGCGTTGTTTTGGCTGTAAAACTTTGGCCGTCGATGGTCGAGCGACACAAGTCTAGGAGAGCCTTCCATGGACTCGGGCTCGCGAGATGCACTTCCATTGGCATCAAGTCCAAGTGACTTAAACATGCACTCCAAGATTGAAGCGCGGAAGAGATTGTCTTCATCCACAGTTTCTCGCGGATCCATCGTCATGCGACCAAGCCTCCTTGAATCAAAGGGATCATTGAAAAATCTATCATCCTTTGCATTCGCGCCCGGGTGTCTCATTGAGGCCCCCGAAATGGATCGTTGATCCGCTGGTGACATACGCGAATTCCCTCGAGCTAACTGAGTATTAGACAGCAGATCTCCAGGGCTCGGTGTGTGGGGAGAAGTTCGTTCGCGAGGTGGCGCAATGGTGCTTGTGACAACCGAAGTCGTCCGAAGTTTGGTCATTGATTGCAGCATAGCCTCTTTCCGAAGAGTTGTACTTGACCTTCGCCGATGAGTTGAGGCCGAGTTGTGCAGTGCAATGCCCTTCGTGTCATCATCCTCATCTGTACGTTCCCTTTCGCGCTTGAACTTCTCCTTGAGACGTTCTAGGGCATCACCTCGTAGAATATTGGGGAGCTGGCACACTGTATACTTGATCATGCTCTTCTCTGTCTGCAATACTTCGCTAGTCAAGCCGAGATAGTTGAATGCTTGCGCAAGTGTGACTCTCTGGAATCTTGAGAGAATGACATGTACAATGTGTGCGGTTGCCTTTGGGTAAATTTTGATGAGTCTTCTAAACGCACTCGCTGGGATGATTGCAATTGTTGTATCAACCGTAGCACGAGCAATGATGTCAGGGTGAGCCGAGCCAGATGTTGCCCTGGTTGGCAAGGGCGGTCTAGTAGGTGGAGGTGTATCGCTATCCAGTGACATGGCAGGAATCGCAGCCTGGTCGGTTTCTAAGCCAGAAACACCAAGGCCTTCGGGTTTCTTCTCATCCGCCTCCATATCATTCCGAGACTGAGGTGTGCCCGGCATAGACATATTGACATCCGAAGGAACACGTCTAAGATGAGGCTTCTCGAAGGTCGGGTGTCTAAGGCCGCTACTTTTGGCCGAATGCAAAGAAGAGTCCTCCTGATCATCGTTAGGCCGTAGCCTAACGTCCTCTGTAAACAAAGACATGATGGAGAACAAGGATGACATGGGTGCACCATTCCGAACTTCTGTCAGAAGCTGGTATGTCTGTTGACCAGGGGCGATATCGTCCTCATCCGAAGAGTCCAGGTCAAGATGTCCCCGGGAGGCTGCTGCCGCGCGCGGACTCCGGTTTGATTTGACAAAGATCTCTACCAAGCCATCGACGACGATACAGAAGCCCTTTTCTTCTTCGAGGTTGATGGTCTCGCCAGCAATGAGCTTCCTCGTTTGCATGCTTCGAGTCAACTCATGGAAGACGGGCCGTTCCAGGTAACCGAAAATCTTGATAGCGCTCAAGAACTCATCTAGGTAGTTTGCCAACCCGGACTTAGTACCACCTTCGTGAGTGTCTGGAAAGAGATCGATGTCCGGCTCTTTGCGCTGTGGCTCCGGTGGCAGCCGGGAGTACATGTTCAGGATGCGATACCTGACAACCCAACTGACGGCCGACACGACCGCTGCCATGATGAACATGCTATAGGAGGATTAGCGTTACGAAACGAAAGAGATTATTGGTCAACGCACAGTGTAGTAGCGTTCATGGTAACAGTCCAGCTTGTAGAGAACAAGTGGAATAGAAAGGAAGGGACATTGATAGTCGCAATTCGAATGACCCAATATAGTATGGTGGAAGTGATGTGAAGAAGAAACCATATCAACCACCCAAAGAGGCCAAACCATGTGTAAGGCTCATGGGCGGTGACAGCAGGCATGGTGCTCACGATAGAGGGAGAGGAGCTGCTGAGGGCATAGGCGACAGTCTCAGCGACGTCGCCGGCCATTTGGGCGGCATTTGACGGATCAGATGCCATGGCTGGTTATGAGGCTGCTGCGCATCATACCGTAGCATCCTGTAGAAAAAAGAGCCGCGTGGAAGCGGAGGGAGAGTTTTGGAGCAAGGGAGAAAATTGGAGGTAGAGGTTTTATGAACATGGGAAAGGAAAAAAGAGCGTGGCTGCTTCTGCGCGTGCAAGCTTTTAGCTTGTGATCGGGTGCGGAGCTACAGGGGAGCTTAGGTGCCGAGGATTGGCCGGTTCAGGCCCCACCCCACTGAGAGACGGTGGGCGAGCCGCTGAATTTGTTCCGCGTGGGCAGGTAGTGGAGGGGCTACCCGTTGGTGCCGTCACCTTGTGCATCTGCTTGGATAAGCCATCACTAAGTTATTCTTTTCTCGATATAACGATCGCGATCCCCAAGTCGATTTAATCGTTGAAAACAGACGGTAGAAGCCTGTTTTGTCTCGTGCCAAGCTGCCACATCCCACATGATCATGCGCTCTTGAGCTCGGCACCCTACGATAGCCTTTCAGATGCCCTTTGCGCAACTCGTCGTCGGCAGCCCAGGCTCTGGAAAGAGTACCTACTGTGATGGCAGTGAGTACTCCAAGACACTGAATCTTCTGTATCTGTAGACTGACCGATATAGTGCACCAGTTCCTGGGCGCCATCGGGCGAGCCTGTTCAGTCGTAAACCTCGATCCTGCCAATGACCATACAAACTACCCTGCGGCACTCGATATTCGCAACCTAGTTAAACTCGAGGAAATTATGAAAGATGACAAGCTAGGACCTAATGGTGGCATTTTATATGCCCTTGAAGAATTGGAACATAATTTCGAGTGGTTGGAAGAGGGACTGAAAGAATTCAGTGAAGATTACGTTCTTTTTGACTGCCCAGGACAGGTGGAACTATACACACACCACAACTCCCTACGGAATATCTTCTACAAACTCCAGAAGATTGGATACAGGGTTGGTAGACTCCCTCCATGGAACCCCAGCGACTGACCGTGCATAGCTTGTCTGCGTCCACCTCTCGGATTCTTTCTGTCTAACGCAACCCTCGCTATACGTGTCGAACGTCCTCCTTTCCCTCCGAGCCATGATCCAGATGGACATGCCGCATATAAACATCCTCTCGAAGATCGACAAAGTCTCCGAGTATGACGAGCTCCCGTTCAACCTCGACTATTACACAGACGTAGACGACTTGACATATTTAACGCCCCATCTCGAATCAGAATCGCCCGCTTTGAGGAGCGAAAAGTTTGGCAAGTTGAACGAGGCTATCGCAAATCTGATCGAGAGCTACGGTCTGGTGCGTTACGAAGTCCTGGCGGTTGAAAACAAGAAAAGCATGATGCACATTCTTCGTGTCATTGATCGTGCCGGTGGATACGTCTTTGGTGGTGCTGAAGGTGCCAACGACACAGTGTGGGCGGTCGCCATGAGGAGTGAGTCGTCTATGCTAGAGGTGCAGGATATCCAGGAGCGCTGGATTGATCAAAAGGTGGAATATGACCAACTGGAGCGTGAGGCAGAGGAGGAGCAGGCTCGCATCCAAGAAGAACAGGCCATGGAGCTGGACCAAAGCGAACCATTTGCTCCAGCGGGTGGAATGGACCCTGACTTTGGAGATATGACAGTCCCAAAGGACAGTGGGATCAAGGTAGTAAGAAAAAAATGATACCCGTTCATCAATCCGCATCATCCATTTCTTCATCACTCGACGCGTCGTTGACGTCCAGAATCATTTCATCCTGATTACGTAGCGAGAGGCTGAGAGAAGATTGGGAGTCTGTATCGTCCTTTGCAGCAAGGATGAGTCTTTTGGCCTGACGAATAGCTTCTTCCTCAGCTTTGCGGATTGTCCCACTGACGCGTACAACGCGAAAGATACACGGCCGTCCGTCTTTGACGGGAACATGATCCATAAAGGTCAATGTTGACCAGAGCATTTGATAGTGAGCCCTTGAACATCGTAGGATGAAAGTTGAGGTTGCTAGGGACAAGTATTTCACTAGACATGTCAGGAATGCGAAGCGGTTCAGTTTTACAATCCAATGCTCACCTGAGCAGTTCAGTAAAGCTCCAGATCCACAGTCGCCATAAAGTGACGCGACTTCAGCCTTGATGCCCCTGATAAGTGCACCAGGAGTGAGCTTTTCGATGGTTGGCTGGTGGTTAAGAACGAAGTCTGGTAAATCTGATTTTGCAGCCTTTGCAGGGTCTGGCAGGTAGACAATGTTGACAAGAAGATACCTCTCCTTTATGCGCACCATTTTTAGGAAGCGGCGGTGAAAGATCGAGTGATGCTGTGGATGTTGGCGAAAAAAAGAAGTCGAACAAAGACTTGTGACTGAAGAAGTCAACTTGCATCTCCGTGGAAGTTTACTGTAGCGGCTTCGGGGTCTGCCCCACCAAGACCGGGGCGGTCCAGCGGGGCCGTAAGGGAGCTTCCCCGCCGTCATCAGTTGATGAACTCAATTACTACCTATATATACTCATCTCTCCCTGTAGAAGCTGTATCTTTTGACAAAGATATACAGGTACTGGTAATATTTTATTCTATGAAACGTATTTCTTCAGAAATTGTTACTCGTTTCGCGTAATAACCATGGCTTCCGGTCCCTTGAAAGCGGCGCTTCTTATCGTCTCGACGACAGCAGCCAAGGACGCTTCTGCTGATGCTTCAGGACCTATACTCACCCAAGTATTGGAAGATGAAGGTGATGGGAAGTGGAAAATTCACGATACAAAGATTGTCTCGGATGATGTGCTCGCTATCCAACGGCAAATAACTACCTGGACCGACGGCCCCGAAAGCGTCAACCTCGTTGTGACTACTGGCGGAACTGGTTTTTCTACTGGAGACTCTACCCCAGAAGTAGGCATTCAATAGAGATATTTTATGAGCCATTGAGGGCTAATCGTATCTAGGCAGTCACTCCCTTACTTCATAAGCAAGCGCCAGGCCTCGTTCATGGCATGTTAGCAGCGTCTCTCACAGTCACACCCTGTAAGCAATATCGCTTCCAGTATCGTACCAGATAGTACTAACAAGATCTTTAGTTGCAATGATGTCACGTCCAGTAGCAGGAGTCCGTAACTCGTCCATCATTGTGACCTTACCTGGTTCACCCAAAGGCGCCAGGGAGAACCTCCAGGCCATCGTCAAGACACTACCCCATGCCTGTATCCAGGCTGCAGGTAGCAATTCCAGAGCTATTCACTCTGGTGGAATTAAGAAACTGGAAGCTGAAGCAGGCCTCAAGGGCGGAGATACTCAGTCTACAGCTGCCGGTGGATGCGGTCATCATCACCACGGCCACGGCCATGGCCATGGTCACGGTCACGGGCATGGAAATCTCGTGAGACACACAAAGCCCGGAACTACTCTCTCTAATGATCCTGCGCTTGGACCTTCTCGTAGGTACCGAGAATCGCCCTACCCCATGCTGCCAGTCGAAGAAGCCCTGTCATTGATCGAAGAGCATACCCCTGAACCGGAGGTTATCTCAGCACCAGTTGATCAGTCCATCATCAACTCAGTTCTGGCAGAAGACGTGAAGGCTAGGGAGAATGTTCCGGCCTTCCGCGCCAGTATTGTGGATGGCTACGCAGTTGTGGCCCCTAAGGATGGCCAGCTCAAGGGCATCTTCCCAGTAACAGCCATCTCTCATGCTTCGCCTGGTGAGATCGGGGCTTTGAATGAGGGAGAACTGGCTAGAATCACCACAGGGGCCCCTTTGCCTCCTGGTGCCACGACTGTTGTTATGGTTGAGGATACTGTCCTTAAAACAATGTCAGATGATGGCAAGGAGGAGAAGGAAGTTGAAATTCAAGTCGACGGAGTAAAGGAGGGGGAGAACATCCGCGAAGTTGGTAGTGATGTCAAACAAGGCACAGTTATCCTCAACAAGGGAGAGACTATCAGCGGTGTGGGCGGTGAGATCGGTCTTCTCGCTTCTGTCGGAGTCTCAGAAGCAAAGATTTACCGTCGTCCTGTGGTAGCCGTACTGTCGACTGGCGATGAGATCGTCGAGTACAACCGCCCGGGTGATCTAAAACTTGGCGAAGTCCGCGACACCAACCGAATTACTCTCATGTCCGCAGCGATGGAATGGGGTTATGAAGTTATCGACCTCGGCATTGCCAGTGACAAGCCCGGCACTTTGGAGGAGACCCTCCGTGATGGATTCAGACGTGCAGATCTTCTCATTACCACCGGCGGTGTCTCCATGGGCGAGCTCGATCTCCTTAAACCAACGATTGAGCGTTCTCTTGGCGGCACTATTCACTTCGGGCGTGTTGCTATGAAGCCTGGAAAACCAACCACCTTTGCCACAGTTCCTGTCAAGGACAATTCGGGCCAACGTGTTACCAAGACCATCTTCTCACTTCCCGGCAACCCAGCTTCGGCTCTGGTCACTTTCCATTTGTTTGTGCTCCCTTCACTGCACAAGCTGTCTGGCGCCTCGACTAAGGGTCTCCCAAGAGTACCTGCTATCATCTCGCACGATTTCCCCCTTGACCCTAGACCCGAGTATCATCGAGCTGTGGTCACAGTTGGCAAGGATGGGCTTCTCTCAGCTACCAGTACTGGAGGACAACGCAGCTCCAAGGTCGGAAGCTTGAGGTCAGCTAACGCCTTGGTCATTTTGCCTAGTGGAAAAGGAAAACTGGAGAAGGGGTCAAAGGTTGAGGTTTTGCTATTGAGCGCTGTGCAGGCTGCTTAGAAGTTGGTCCTACTCCCAGTGATGAGCTACGGCCAGACATACAATGCACATTCCTGCATAAAATAAAGATCTTTAGTAACATGTAATTCAAATCTCATCGTGATGTACGCCTCCACCTCCATATGATACTGGTACTGGTACAGCCAAGATACGTCCTCCCAAGCCAATCTTCCAAACGCCTGACCAAATATTATTGGCGCAATGCATGCACACGCTCCGTCTCTTTTGAACACACAAGGTGGTGCCGTCGGTAAACCCGCCGGGCTTGATGATGTCTAAGGTAAGTGATGGATAGGTGACGGGTTTATTTCTTCTCGCCGAAGGCAGGGGCCTTGCTAGAGACCAGGAGACCAATGATCAGACCGAATAAGCCGAGCACTGAGCTGAAAATCTCGATGACAAGAATCTTGACGAAGCTAGAGACGTATAAGTAGTTGGTCTAAGTTATGATGATTTTAGATAATGACGTACAGTGAAGGATCGGCAGCATCGGCCAGAGCAGCACCGCTACCGTTGATTCCAACGGCAACACCGCAGACAAGGTTGCACATGCCGACGGTAATACCAGACCAGAAGAGGGCATATCCAGTATAATAGGAGTTGGCAGAGTAGAGCTCGGCTCCAGAGACGTTCTCGACTTTTTGCGAGAACACGATAGCCATGATGACGCCGTAGATGGCGACAACTTCACAAAAGATAATAGAAATCAAGTTCTTGGTTCGGATACGAGGGGCCTTAACACCACCTCCGAGAATCGACGAGCCGGTAATGAAGATGCCCCTGGAGCCAATGCGTCAGAGCTGTGCTATAAGGATTGTTGATTGAGGGTATACGCACCATGCAGCGCCGACAACAGAGAGACCGATACAAAGCGCGATTCCTAGCGTTGCCCATGTATAAGGCGAAACCGATTCGAGAAAACCGCCAATATCGAAGGACTCGCCACTTCCGGTAAAGAGCATATCTACACGACAGCATCATAGTCAGTAAAAAGCACAATGGAGCCTTCTAAGTATCAACGCCTATGGGGAACGGGTTTCGCGTACAAGCTCCAACGATGGTCAAGAACGACCCAATGCCGCCCACTCCATAGTACAGACTCATTGCAACGGTATTCGAATTGTTAACTCGGCGATCCAGGGGTTGATGTGTTGGCGATGGTGAGCGTCGGGTCGGATGAAGGTGGCTTATTCTGAGCTTGAAGGAGCTCCTGTTTCAAGGTACCTTGAAGCTGCGATGCGTGTCCAGCAAGCAGGCAACTGGAATAACTGGGACCGACGTCACATGATGCGAGGCTGACTGGTGGCTTGTGGCGCGCTTAGTCATTCCCGCTTTGTACATCCCTCGAGGCAGATGCATCTCATGAACCTTGCCTTCGACAAACTATCAACCACCCAAAACCGAAAATAGCAATTTAACGACCGACTTCCTTCGCGCCCAAACTTCAAAACCCGAAATCATGGCTACCGGAGCGCAATCTTTCTATGAGCTGTACCGTCGAAGCAGGTACTGCGCCATATTGCTATGCGCTGCTATGCGACAGCCTGACTAACATGGTTCACTGCAGCATCGGCCTCGCTTTGACAGATACCCTTGATGATCTCATCAGCGACGAGCGCATCAACCCTCAACTTGCTATGAAGATTCTGAGCAATTTTGACCAGGCCATCACTGAGGCTCTTCAGAAGAACGTAAAAGCTAGACTTCAATTCAAGGTGGGCGAATACCTCCGAGCTCGGCGCACGTATTTCGACTAGAACTAACCGCCTCTTCTACAGGGAAGCCTTGACACCTACCGATTCTGCGACGAAGTCTGGACCTTTTTGATCAAGAATGTAACCTTCAAAATGGACAATGGGAGTCAGTCCGTCACGGCGAACAAGGTCAAGATTGTTAGCTGCAACGCCAAGAAGCCTGGCGAGGGACAATAAGTCAACGACTCATGAATGCGCACGATCGAACACGAAGAAAGGGATTTGCAACCTTCACAAATTGGGAAACTACTGAAATTCTGCTTTTTCAGCATTGGGCGGCGTTCGGAACCTGGCTCTTTACGGGGTACAACTACAGGACATTGATTTTCGTGGGAAAGAAGTGAAGCACAAGACTCAGTACTAGGAAACTAGAGTTGAATTTATGCACAGTCAACAGAAGTTTAGTCAAGAATGATATCAAATTGCTTTATTTGGACTGTATGTTATTGAGTTAGTAGTGAGATAACAGCAGCATTGGCAGACCTCTCATGGAGCAAGAAAATATCAGACCTTGATAAGGTGTCAAAATAAACTCAGCAAAAAATATACTAAACTTATACTAAACTCATCCTAAATGACTTGAGTTACCTAGGTAAGTTACCTAAGTCTTATTGTTATTTAGGATCAAAAGCCTCGAGTTTGCAGGCTGGTTTCTTAAAACGTCTCCAACCAGGGGCGACTCTGCCTAGGTACCTAGTAAGACAGGCGGTCCCCCACTAAAGGACCACTTCTCGGCCTCTAACAAGGATGGATGCCAAGTCAATCCATCATCATAAGGGGCCCTCCATTCTCACCAACCTAAGAAGTCCGAAGACTCCGACGACCATGCTCCGTACAAGTAAACGTCAGAAGCCAGAAGCTGGACCTCATTCTTCATCGCCTTTGAAGAAACAGTCATCCCCTGAGATGCCGTCACCAAGTAATTGGAGCCTGCGGTCGCAGTGGATGTTCTTTGCAGTTGCTAGTGGTGCTTGTGCTGCTTTCAATGGAGTTTTTGCAAAGTTGTAAGTACATGGACATATTTCTCTTATCGTGACGATTATGTAGAGGCTATTCCGAGTGTATAGTGCAGATCGCACCATGGAGACCTCGCGCTGGAAAGAGGTAGCCTTAAAAGATTATGATGCTAATTTACTCAGGACAACTACGCAACTCACAACCAACCTGTCCGACAGCATTGCGAAACTGATCGGCCTATCCGCTCATGAGCACATAGTCGAATATCTCGTTCGAGGCGTGAGTTGATCTCTTTTGCTCTGACTTGACTCACAACTAAACCTTCAGATATTCTTTGTCCTCAATTTAACATTTAATGGTGTTGTAAGTGACTTCCAGTCGAACCTCTGATCACTCACTTACATGCTTCAGATGTGGACGCTGTTTACTCAGGCTCTGGCCCGTGGTACATCCACAACCCAAGTCTCCATCATGAATACATCCACGAACTTCATGGTTACCGCTGTCCTAGGCGCCTTGATCTTTTCAGAAGCTCTTCCTCCTTTGTGGTGGGCTGGTGCTGCACTTCTTGTCGCAGGCAATGTCATCGTGGGACGGAAAGATGAGACTAAAGATGCTGGTGCTGCGGCCGCTGCTGAAGGGCCGAGTTATGTCCCTTTGCCGACTGAAGATGATGGAGCACAGCGGGATGAGGATGAGGATGTTATTGATTTGGGTAGGGAGTCGGATGACAGAACACGATAGACAGCCTGGCTAGTCAAATAGTTGTGGTGTGGAATGACACGGGAGACCTGCTGTTGGATCTTTGATAGAAGTGGGACATTTCGCATACGTTCAAAAATAGATTCAGTCCCGAACACCAGTTATCATGCACGTCTCTATAGTAACAGATAATAAAAGGTAAACAATCAACATGGTCATACAGTTACCGCCGACTCTCCAGCTCGACACCCTCATCGAGCACCTCCTCGTCACCATCTAATATTTGCCCTCTCCCCAGTGGCCGCTCACCTCCAGAACTGCTTGTCAGGCGAATTCGGCCTCCTGAGTATCTTGAGACTCGACCAGAGAACCAGTTACCGGCTCTTTGAAAGAGGTTCCAAAGTTGTTCTTGCCCCTCTTCGATACGATGATCATCCTTGGGGTTCTCGGCGGCTTCGACCTTGAATTGGTATTTCAGACAGTCTTTGACGGTTACGAGACCGGTGAGCTTGCCATGATATTCAATCAATATAACTCGAGGCCCGATCTTTTGGAACAACTCCATGACAGTCTCGAGGGGTAGTCTCGGGTGAGCTGTGACGGGTGTTGCATCGACATATCGGCTAAAGTCGAGAGTTGAAGAGTGAGACGACTCGCTATGGATGTTGTTGAGCGATGTACTGGATAGATTTGCCGACGATGGTGCAAATGTGCATTTTGCAGTCTCTGATAACGGTGAGGTTCGACTCATCTTATCAATGGCATATCGCAACTCCGTCCTACCGATATAACCAACAAGTACCTTGGTGTGTTTATCTTCCACCACGGGGAAGCCTTGGTATCGATCATCAGCAAGGAGGCTCTGGACCTCGCCCAAGGTAAGTCCATGAACGGGCATCGAGACAACAGAGGTTCTCATGACAGCTGAAACAGGAACTCCAAAATTGTGCTCCTCTTTACTGTCAAGGAATGGCATTCCACTGAACCATATCATCCTATCTGCGATGCCTCCCTTGCCAAACAATTCGCTGACGGCTTTGGTGACTCCGACGACGATCATGGTGGGGAGAATATAGTTCAGAGCACCTGTGAGCTCAAACATGATGACCACCACAGATATGGTGATGTGCATGATGCCACTGAGTGCTGCAGCGGCTCCTAGTAGGGCATATGTACCTGGTGTGATGCAAGGCTCGTCAGGTTTGCATGCGGAAAAGAAGACGCTGGTGGGATTGGCCTCATGAATAGCTTGAACAAGGATTCCAATTGTTCTTCCGAAGGACGCTCCAATGGCCATTGAAGGAACGAAGATACCGGCGGGAACCTTGCATCCATAGGATAGTATAACCAGGAAAAGTCTCAGGAACGTCGCCAGGAACAGTGAAATTACGTTCCACCATCTCTTGTCAGGCTCGCAAAGACCGTGGTACGATTCTCCACGTCCACATTCCGAGAAGAGAATCTCCATACTCTCTGTCATGTCTATCCTCAAGAAGGCGTTGGGGTAGGCAATAATAGCAGTTCCCGCTGCTAGTAAAGTTGCTTCGAGAACCGCATACTCTTTCAAGTACTTCTTTCTGAATGACTGAACCCGCAAATTCCACTTAATCACAAAGGCTCCGTAGAGACCTCCGAAAATACCAATCAGGACGTAGAATAGCAGCTCGAAGAAATGCCAGTCGTTCTTATACTCGACCTGGAACATGACCAGTTGGCCCGTTCGGAAAGGGTTCATAGCAGCGAGAACAGCTGTCGCTACCAGGGCACAGAAATAGCTTCGCCATAATGTCTTGAGAGGAAACTGGTTCGACATTTCCTCAAGAGAGAAAAGCACGCCGCCGATAGGACTGCCAAAGGCGACAGCCACGCCGGCAGCTGCCGAGGCGCTCAGAAACTCCCTAGTCTTAGAAGCGTTGCGTTTGTATTTGTCGAAAAGCCGAGAGATCACATTTCCTGTACACACGGCGTAGTGTACACTTGGGCCTTCTTTTCCAACCGACAAACCAGAGGCGATAGCTAGAGGGAGGCAGACTGATTTGATGATCAAGGTCCACCATCCAAGGAAGCCTTTCATAACAAACCCGGCAATGATGCACTTGATCTCAGAAATACCCGAACCGGCGGCGTATGGTGCAAAAGACTTGACCAAGGTGCCCGCAACACAAGCAAATAGGGTCTATGCCGTTAGTATGCACAAATGCGAATGGAGACCTGGCTGGCACTTACTGCAAAGACAAAATAGATAAAATAGTTGAAGGGTTCGAAGCCAGTCCATCTGTGCCACTGATCGCAGCCTGTTCGGTATCAGCATCATCCATGTCGCTATACCCTGGAAACCACATACCATTCTCTTCTCCCCAGCAGCAAAAGTTCTCATTCAGATAGAAGCCTGTCTCGCAATAGCCCATCTTGACGTCTGAGAGCCATTCCGTGATAATATTGAGTAGTGCTGCATTCAAGCCAATAGCAATACCAATGATTGTTACCACGATCCAGGCTTGCGCTGCATCATAACTCTTCCACAGCTGATATCGCCAGCCAGGTTGTCCTTTATCGTAGAGGCCGGCCGCTTGCTTTCTTCGCGCCTTACGCTTAGCTTGTTCTCGCGCCGCATCTTGCACCCAGTCTACCGTATATCAGTATCCAAGTCCGTGTTGTGGCCGATCGGGTCGCATACCTATTGTTGTAAAGTCCTGGTCCAGCTAGTTAGCACAGAGCTGCATATCCAGTGTCCCACAACATACTTCATATCTCTTAATCTCGGCAATCTCCTCCTCGATAAGTCCAGCCCCTGTCCGTGCCGTACTCCCTGTTTCTTGATCTGCATTCGAAAAGACGGAGGATAAACGCGATACCACCGAAGGACGTCTTTCAAGTCCAGGTCCAGGAGGCGCCAAGCTGAAGGATGATTGTCGCACGCTCATGGTTCAGGCCAGTCGACCATTGTCGCTCAACCGCTATCTTTGAAGTCGCGCAAGTCGGGATGATTGGATTGACGGATTAAAAATGCTAGCGAGGCGAAAATGAGAGCTGTTCCTTTGGTAAAGGCTATTTCGTAAACGTTGTTCTATGGTGAGTGTCGTAGTGACCAACAGGGATGCTGACAGCTGAATATGTGGCTTTCGGTTCAGCCACAGTATCGCGTTTAGTGGTTGCAGCATCGCGTCTCAGACAGGACTTCATTACCTTAGTGAATATCATTCTTCGTTCACTTTATCTTGACTTCACAAGAACAGTAATTTCACATTCAACTCGACTTATCAGCCATTGATAGCAATATAAAACGTTTGCTATTCTCTTACATAAACATATTCCTCATACTCCCTTCATTCTCGACTCCCAACTCTCAAACGAATCGCAACCCCTGATTCAATTTGGAGAATCCGTTTGTAGTCAAGGTACGGCTCACATTTCCTGTTCAAGTGTCATTTTCAATCTTGAATTCACTGTGTACCTACTTCATTTTGGTGTCTGTTTATCTTCGTTCTCTCCCATATATTCTACCTTGTACTTTCTGGTTACTCCAACAACTTTGTTATCCCTTGTACTCAACTTTGGCCTTCGTCGCTCACCCATCCACCTCAAGCATTGATACCTCTGTTTGGCTCTTCTAACTCACCCAGACCTACTTAATTCTTTCACATTTTCTAGTAGTTTCTGTCTCGACTACCGCCATGCCTTATAACACCACTGCTATTCCTCCTCGAAAGGAGCCTACAGGCCAGAATCAGCTCCCTCGTAAGCTACCTATTGACCATACTCCCCAGTCCCAATCTAACATGATGATAGTCTCTAGAGTTAAAAAGATCATCGCACAAGACCCAGATATCGGTCTGTGCTCTAACAATGCAGCTTTCGTGATAACTCTCGCTGCCGTACGTGCTCGTTACCCATTTCTCACCCTGCCATACTTATGCAGCATAGGAAATGTTTGTTCAGCATCTTGCAGAAGAGTCACATACCCAAGCCAAGCTAGACCGCAAACCTCGTCGAAACATCCAATACAAGGATGTTGGTAAGTTAGCTCCCTCTTACTCGACTCAGCAGCCCTTTCTAACTTCAATAGCAAGCGCTGTTGCACACCACGACAACCTTGAGTTTCTTGAAGACGTGGTACCAAAGACTGTTCCCTACAAGAACATCAAGGCCAAGGCTAAGGCCACGCAGGCACGTCTCCAAGGTGACAATACCAATCAGAAGCTTGAGTTTCCTCTGGCAAACGGCGTTGGCAAGCCTCTTGTGAACGGCAACTCCGTGGCTCATCATGATAGGCAAGATGACCCGAACTCGCAGCTTGAGTTGGAGTTCAGACAGGCTTCTGGTGCGAACCGAGATGGGGATGTAGCAATGACTGGTTAGTTATAGTATTGCTCACTTGCTCATGGTAAAAAGAGGCGTTGGCAGGGTTGTCCATAGTCCGCTGGATTAAAAAACGAGGATAAAAGCGGTCTATCATCATGTATATCACAAGCCAAATGACAATCTTGATATATGGCATCAAATTCCATTTCTTAGGGTGGGGTGATAGCCATAATGTGAAAGCGAAATAACCATAGCATTTTTTCTGCAACCCCCAAAACAAGTGGTACACAGCCATCATAGTTGTCAAGATTTATTCCTCCATGGCATCTCCGTGAATACCAGAAGGCAGACGTCCCTCGTTCAGCTCCTTCTCCAGCGCGATAATCTCCTGTAGGCTGGTAGCCTTCTTGATACGCTCCTGTAGTCGCTTCTTCTCGGCGTCCGTCAGCTTTATTCGGGAAAGCTTGGAGGGCGCGTCCGAGCCGTCGGTCGAGGTGTTGAAGGTTGTGGTCTTGATACCCTGAATCTGTGTCGTTGTTAGCGTCATGCAACTGTTCTATTATTGGCGATGTCCATACCTTCGAAGCCAGGGCTGTTGGCTCTTCTTCGGTTCCGAAGAGCTCGCGAGCCTTCTCCCGCTCGGACTCCTTAACCTTTTCGAAGTCAAGAAACCGCACGGAAGGACACTTCCATAGTACCCAGTATCGATAGTTCTGCACCATGCATCAGCAATTGCTGCATCAGTGGACACGCCTGAAACTGACCTCCTTCTTGGAAACGGGGTTGTCCGACAGCACCAAGTGCGTCAAGCGGGGGAATGACGCCAGGGCATCCAAATCCGCAAGCTCTGTCAGGTTGTTCGACGATAACACCAGGTTGGCAAGGTTGGGAATGGCCTTAGCCAGAGAGGGCTGAATGCTTGAAACTCGGTTTCGTGCGAGGAGAAGGGTCGTTATGCGAGGCGACAAGGGAAAGTTTCCCAGTACTTGAATGTCATTATCTGTGAAGTCGATGGCATCGTGAGGCTAAGCTGTTAGCAACAGAGCAATAAGGCAGAGAATTTGTAACTTACACCAGCGACACCCAAGTTCTCAATCGCGGGAATTCGGTGGCCTGTTCACGCCGCAAAGACGATTGTATCAACTCTGCGCTCTCTAGAGATCAAAAATGTAGCATCTGCTCTTTTCAAAACGCACCTCGAAGATCAAGCTCTCGCTCCTTGAGCGGGTTGAGGTAGGATAGGGAATCCCGGATGAGGTCGGCGGTGAGCCGCATCTTGGATTTGGGGCCGTTACCTCGGGTTCAGAGACGAAATTGCTTGGATTTGACTCGCTGCGTGATCGAGTTTGGAGACTGTTTGGAAGGGCGTGCGAATGTCGGTAGTGTTGATTTATGGTAAGGCAAGGCTGCGACTTGACGAGGCGTGGGGGAAATTTTGGTGTCGCGTGTGGCTTGAGCTTAGAGTGGCACACAGGCCCCAGCCACCATAGACTCAACTTGAGTGCTCCGTACTCCAGGTAAGTTTGACAACATATCTATACCAGTCAATTACGGAATAGGGGAGTGGTTCGGAATTTTCGAAAAAGTTCACGTATATTGAGCACCATTTTAGAAGTTCTTACTGTTCCGCACACTACAATTGATAGGACAAACTCCAATGTGCTTAAGCTTGGCAGTGGATGATAATGTAATTCTTGCTTAGTTGTTCTATCCGGAAACAAGCTCCCAGCAAACTAAAAGGTGATTGCTCTTGATGTCTTTATAGATTGCATCGTGTCACCAGCTGTAGCCCGACTCTACTGAAACACAAAGACGACGCCCATCCTATCCACCGAAACGCTCATAATATAGGGGAACTCCAACAACGCCACATCTAAAATAGAATCCACGTGAGACTGCAGCAACTGTTGTTGCTGAAGGGATATAACTGTCGATCGAGGTGGTCGGGCAGTCGATGACTTGGCTCTAGATCCAGAACCAGCATTGGGGGCCGTTGGAGCTTGTCTAGGAAAACGCTCCGTGTTCAACGTCAGTGCCGTTGTTGGGTGGGAGGTCGTGTAAGTCGGTTTAGGTAGATCTGGGGACAGTCCACTGTAGATGAACGAGCTCTCCATCCGAGATAGATCCCAGAAGCGAAGTCTCTTATCTGATCCGCCAGTGACGATAAAGGCGTGCCTCACGTCTCTCGAGTCTTCTGTAGTTGCGGTTCCGACAACCATTGCACGAACTCCACGATCGGCATTGGCGATTTCGTTGGGTTCGATGTTAGTAGCATATCGTCCAAGCATGCCTTCTCGCTTATCTTCATCCACGTCCCATGGCTCGTACGCTTTGAGTCCATCCTTGCTGCCTCCCGTTCTATAAATTTCCCGGCAGACGGTTTTCTCCAGGTCCCAAACCATCACCTCGCCTTGTCCAGTACCGCCAGAAATGCATACCCATTTGCCACGGCCTTTAGTAGGGTGGATGCAAATTCGGTAGATTGACCCTTTGCCTGGCAGACCCCAACCCTTGAGCCTCATCTTGAAACGCAGATCCCAGAGATCAACAACTCCATGAGAAGTACCCACGCAAAGCCAGTTGCGCTTCCTATCCACGCAAAAGCAAGTTGGCGTTCCATGGTGCACTGGATTCTCGAGAGTATATAGGAGACTCATGGTCCTCAAGTCGATACCAAGAATCCTTGAGCGATTCGTAGCGATGACAAGAATCGAGTTCGATTCTTGTCTGAAATGTTCACACCACACCGCGAACTCGCCATCTGGTAGTTGATACTCTCGCAAGACGCGCAATTTGCCGTACCTAATAACGCCACCAGCAGATACAGTGTCAACCTTCACTACGTGAACGGTACCATCGGAAGCACAGCTAACAAAACAATGTGAGTTCTCTACAAAACAGAGGGCAACAACCCGCGTGTTATCTCCGTGTTTGTGGAGTTGACGAGAACGGTGTGTAATGTTTCGCTCGAGCCTAGCCGTATCCCAAACTCTCACAGTGCCGTCGTCGCCACCAGTGATGAAGAAAACATGGTCAGGGGATGGTAACACCCTATTGATGGGGCTTTTATGTTCGGAAAACGTTGCAACAAGTTGTCCGGCTGGCTTCCAAGGTTCCTCGCCAGGTTGAACGCTGGCGCGACTTGCTTTGCTCCTCTTGATCGGCGTGACCATTGGCCCAAATTCGATAACATCACGAGGGAAATTATCAACATACATGTTATCCAACATTCTTTGTATGCTTGGGTCGTTACCTGCGTAACTGTGTTTCGACACCCGGGAGCCGGTAGTGTCGCCTTCATTCCCTTCAGAGGAAGCTTGCTGATCGGTTGAGGTCTGAGCAAAAGGGCCCTCAACCTCACCAAATGCATTCGCGTCGGTGGTGCCAGTTTGTGCGATCGATTTGTTCTTGTCCTTGCGGTCAAGGAGACTCAGGGCACTTGCCTGATGGCGCACTGCATTTCTAGAAGGTGAACCTCCTTGAGAGGGTCCATCGTCGGCTGTCTGCATCAGCTGCCCTGCGGAAGGTGCTCTAGTATGCGTTCGACCAGCACTAGTTGGTGAAAGGAGCCGGCGTGATGAACGCGGTCCGACGCTTTGAACGCGGCGGTTATTGTTGACCCTCTTTTTTCCGCCAGTCGAGTCATCAATAGTCATGGAGGCGTCCAAGAGGGCATCTGCAATTGTGTAAGGTTCCGATGGTGGTTCAAGATCCACGATTGCATTGGGGTCTCGAAGTGGCGCGTCATTGAAGAAGACCGTCTGAGGAGTGATTCCTAATGATTTGAGAGATACTACACCATTGGATGCGGTACCATCCGATGTAGAAGTATCACGCGCCTTTATTTTACTTAGACGCCAAATGAACTCACGTAGGGCATCAAGCTTCAACTCGTCTTCATGCTTGAGTCCGAGGTTTCTGAGTTTCGTTAACCATTGCTCATCTTCGTCATTTCGAGCCACTCGCCCCATGGAGCTTTGCATCAAGTCCCGAGAGGTACGGCTTGATGTTGACCCTTTGGAGCCGAACAACAATGGCTTGAGCTGTTGCAGGGGCTTCCAGTAGATGCCACGTTCTGTCTTCGAGGCCCACGTTATAGCTTGGTCAAAGACATTTCGAGCCAATGGCCTCTTGAGAGCATCAAGTATGTTGAGCTCGGAAAAGTCAGAGAGAACCTCCACTTTCAGGAATGGTTTTACAAGGGGCATCAGGTTACACCTGATATCAGCAGGTGGCAAATACCTCGCCGACATTGATATGAATTCTGCTGCAGATTCGCGGATCCAGATATTTGGGTGCATCGTGAACCGGCTGATGAGGTCAACTAGCTCCCACACCTTGGGTCTTGATAACAAGCCAAGCCCAGCGAGCTGAGCAAGCGAATGGAGAGCGGCTTGTACCACGTACTCTTCTGGATCAGTCAAGGCTTGTATCATCAAGGGGAGCATGAACTCCTCCAAACTCGTGCTTCCGATGAAAGCTGCGATGCCGACGATCGTATCAAAAAATGCACATTTCAGCGTCCAATCTCGATCGTTCAGATATGTGTTAAGATGAGTAAGGAGGACATCGTTTGAATGATGGTCAAAGAAGAGGCATAGCTCGGGTACGGAGGCTAAAAATGCTCTGCGAACCGAAATGTCCGGGTCTTCTACCAATTGTTTTGAATGGCTCTCAAGGACTTCAAAAAGCTGTCGCCCAGCGTTGTCAAATACGCTCTCGAAGTTGGCCTTGGCATCCGCTCCAGGTTCGACTTCAGGATCGGTAATAGGCATCGAGCCATCAGCTCGAAGGCTTGATGCCATATTGAGGAATCTCTGTGCAGTAGTCGCAAGACTGCCGAGACAAGAAGCATAAGCTGCTCTGACCAAGGAACTGGGTGCCCTTGATCTAGATCCCAACGCGATTTCCATTCGAGGTAATACATACTCTACCAGGACATGAGAGTTGAATGCATTGACTGTCTGCACCAGCTGCAAAAGTTGAGTAATGGTTCGAATAGCCGCGATCAGCACTAGGTCTGTCTCATCTGGGACGAGAAGTGTCATGAGATATGGCAAAACTCTGTCCAACTTGGCTTCATCAGTCAGTCTTTCTGAAAAGGCAAGAAGTACATCACATGCGCGGATTCGTGAAGATGCTCGCGCAGTGTTTCTTAGTTGAGACACGATCAGCGTCAGGAATATCAACGTTCCATCATCTTCTGGTGGCTCTAATTCGGAGGATACGGTATGGTTGTGATTCGGGATGTTAAGCCTCACTGGGAAATGCGATAGGCTCAGCCTAGGAGGCGGTTGAAGCTCGTCTGAGGTACGTTTCTCAAGCTGATAACCAAGGAAATACGAGATCTTATCAAAGTCGTAAAATACACGATCGATTCGATCATCAGCTTCTCCAAGATTTTTCGAAGTGCCTGACATGGGACTGTTGCCAGATGAAGGGTCTGTTATGAGCTCCATATACTGGTGTAGGAAATTGTAGAAGTAGTGTGGAAATACTTTGCCTTTCCAGAACTCTAGGTACTGGTCTGCTGAGTATCGTTTCTCGGGGTCAAGCTGAATCATGTGGGCTATCATATCGGCGAGGTCCTTGTTTGCGATGGTGCTCAGATGCGTAATCACAGGGTCGTATTCGCCACGTCGATACTTGTACAGCTGTGCGAGGCTGAAGATGTCCGACTCAAGAAACAGTTGCGCAATAACACAACCAGCACTGAAGATGTCCATTGCCCATGTCATCTTCGCATTCTTCGGCGGCGCCTCTCCAGAAGCGTAGAAGCGCTCGGGGGCGATATAGCAGGTTCGGAGGCCTGATGTATCGAAGAAGTAAGAGAAATCAGCTGGGTTGTCGTCGGGGAGCATCACAGGCTTATAGGCGGAGGAGAAATCGGAGAGGTACAGCCAATTCCACGAGGTCACGAGGACATTCTGCGCCTTGATGTCGCCGTGGTAGACATCGCGTGCATGGCAATCGCGAAGAGCGCAAAGCAGCTGGAAGGCCAACCATTTTTTCTCGATGTCCTCGAGGAACGGTCGAGTGCTGACTCGGTCGTATAGTGAGCTGTAAAGGAACTGGCGGACCAAATAGCCGTTGGTCTCGGTCTCGATAATGCGCTGGAATCCGAGCGTGTTGGGGATTTTGTCTATCGCGTTACTCTGCTCTGATTTTGGTTAGAACATCTCTGGAGGGTGTCGAAAACGCCCGAAGGTTACCTATTATCTGTTTCTTGTATTGCTGTAGCTTGACGTCGGCGTACGGCTTAACCAGGACCTTGA